TTTTGTGCTGGGACTTTAGTAAACCCTTTCAATCTGGAGTTCCATGTATTTAATTCTGGAATTTTCTCATTTTTGTTGTTTTTCTGGCATTATTTTCTTTGTTCTTTTCTCAAGCTTCTTCTAAATCAGTATTTGATTTTAGGTGTGGAGCAGAGGCTTTTTTGTCTCTGTGCCTTTGCATACGTTATTCCTTTTATCTAGAACACACTTTCTCTCCCATTTCTCGAAAATCCCTACTTATACTTCAAAATACATTTCCAACTTCCATTCTTCCATGGTGATTCCCTGACAGGCTGAATGAGATGGTCTCTCCTCTAAGCTCACAAAGTCTTTTGGGGCATCTCTAATGCTAGACTATAATCTATTTATACATCTGCTTCTTCCATGATGATAAACTCCTTGAACAGGATGATATTTATCCATTTCTGGAAACTTAGTGCCTAAGACTGTGTAATGCCATGAATAAATGAATTCAACAAGAGGTGAAAAGTGAACATTTCTCCCAGCTATATGTCAAGTGCTGTGCAAGACAGGTACCATCTTAATGTATTTTCACTTAATCCTTACAGCAAATCTCAGATAACTGTTTATGCAACAAATATTACCTTTTAGGTTCCTATTATGTGCCAGGTTTGATCCCAGTGATAGGATGAAAAACTAAGATCTCATAAAGACTTTTTTTCTCATACAATTTTTTACAGTTGATATGTAATTCATGAACCATAAAACCCACCGGTTTGAAACGTACACCTCAGGGGTATCACCACTAGACTTTTTTATCTGTATAAAGGCAGTGCTATGTGTATCCTGGGGTCAAGTCAGAAGAGAAAATCAGGGGAAGAAACATAGTCCAGGGAAAGGGAGCAGTATGCACAAAGAAGCAGAGCTCTGAAATGGCCCGGCATTTGGAAAGTATGAAAAGGACAGGGGAGCTAGAGTTTATGGTGAGAAAGTAGGTTGAGCTGTTTTACAAATGAGGAATCTGAAGTGCAGAGAGGTGAATTGACTCAACTAAGGTCAAACAATTTCTCTTCTGCCAACTCAGCAGAAAGTATCTAATCAATGTTTCCCCACCACCAAACCATTCCCAACAAGCAGACACGTGCTGGTGGCAGGTGTTGACCCCACTAAAACTGTATTACCAAACACTGAATTTCCTCCTGCAATCCACCAGCCTTCCAGCAAAGAGGCTTCCTTTTCTTCTCTTCCAAATCCTTGGATTACCTAGAACCATTGGTGATAGTGATCACCAACATTAGTTGAACAAACACATTTCCACTGTGGCTTTTAAGACTCCAAAGGTCAAGATCATCACAGTGATGCTATAAGAAGGTGTTCTGTCCATGAACAAAATATTTGTCATGAAAGTCAAGATGAAACCTTAATACTTCATGAGCTCTTTGCTAGGCTAATATATGTTTGCTAATCATGTTTCAAGCTCTCAGTATGATGATGAAAAAAATGTGTTTTTGTAGGCCTCAGTTTTCCTGCCTGCAAAGTGACATTAAGAAATCTTGTCCCAACCACCTTACCACCATCCTGCCCAAAAGAACTACTGGAAAACCATGGGGATCTGTTACTGTTTTGGAATTCTTGAGGAAAAGTTCAATACATGCTCTTAGAAATAATATGCCTAATGTAAGAATTTCTCCAAACTTCTGACCTCAGTGAAACATTCATAAAATCTTTGCTTATTAAGCTTAAATTCAGCCCAGATCAATCTCCAGTTCATCTCTCTGGGAAGGGGGGAGGTATGGGAACTCAGAGAAAACAGTTAGAAAATGACTTTTGTCAGGCAGTTGCAATGACTTTTGGATTTCCATTTTGCATTCAGAGGCTGTCCCCTTCTCTATGATGTGAAAAAGCAACTCTACCTTGTAAGGTAACAAACTACAGGTGCTACAAATCAGAAGTGTGGTAGCAACACATCCCCCACCACACTTACCATTCAAGCTCTTCTCTAGCACCATGTCTACAAATCACCAGCAGAACACACAAATTACAGCAAAGACCAGTTATTTTTCAGGAAAGAAAAAAAAAAATGAACGTGATCTCATGAAACAGGGTAGAAGATTTCATCAGAAACCACCTCTATAGATACTTGCTATTATCCTTTGTGTAGCCTTCACAACAATCAAGAGTTGGTTGCTTTATTCTGTCTTTGTGGATAAAGAAACTTAGGCTCATAGATGCTGGATCACTACAGGACATGCAGCTGAGGTCCTAATCCTAATAGGAAAAGTCCTTCTATCTGCCAGTGGGTCCTAGACAAGAATCATCTGAGAGCACTTACGGATAACAAAATACAGAAGAATCTTTAGATATTTGCTACCTACTAGAGAATCCATGCTACATTGTTTGGAGGTTTGCAGTAGGTCCAAGGAATTCACAATGTCTGAAAATATTATACAACAAAAGTTTTACTAACCTTTAAGAGACCAATTATCCCTGCCACTTTTGTTTCTCTTTTAGAAAGGGAAGTTTTGAAATACTGGAAGTAAAATAAAGCAAATAGCATGAAGGTGATGATACCAATTAGGGATATTTGTGTAAATAATCAGACGATCATTAATTTCTAGTCTGCTGAGGTTTCTACACACACAGGAGTTTTCATTTGTGATTCTCCACTACATTTTAGTAGGGAAGCATCCATACTTAACTGATCTAATAGTTTGAGAAACAATAGCAAAGTCCATTCCTAACTCCAAGAGCAGTAAATTCCAATTCCTTTTCTAAAAAGAGGAAATATGTCAATATTTGAGACCAAAGCCAGAATTCAAATAACTGCAAATACCTAGGTGAGAAAGATTACATTTTCTACTCTAGACAACTATTTAAGGAGATGCTTCCCCACAAGGCAGTATTTTAAAGCTTGGGAGTTCCAGGGGAAAGAAAAGAAACAGCATTAAGTATGTGTCCACTGTGTCTTCACACTACTCAGTTATCCTTTGTGTAGCCTTCACAACAGCCAAGAGTTGGTCCCTATATCCTCTTCTCCATGGTTGAAGAAATCTAGGCTCAGACTTGCTGGAACACTACATACAGGTCACACAGCTGAGGTCTGCATCCTAATCCAAAAAGGCCTTCACCGGCCGGTGTTGCCCAGACAAGAATCACCTGGGATTACTTAAAGAAAACACAAAATCCAGGCTTACAGTCAGTCTTCAAAGGAAGGGGCCAGAGAACGTGTTTTATGTTTTTGTTTTTTAAGAAGCCGTGCTGCCTCCCCATCCACTTGGTCAACAGGAGAGCTTGAGAAAGACAGTACTTCACGACCCAGCCAGGAGACTATCCCTACATTTGTGATTTCTCCATCAGGAAACCCTTAACCTTCTCAACATAAATTTAAAAAAATGCACATTTCTATGGTCAAACCATCACCTCTCCCAAGGCGCCCAGTAGTGCCGATCTTGGAATCTTCTTTCGCTCCTTCGCCTCTGAATCCTGCCAATTTTTTTTCTTTTCTGTAGAATTTCATTTCCTGGCTGGGATCAGGCTCTAACCACCAGACTTCCAGGCGGGCCCCGGAACCAGCAACCGGTCTCTAGTCTGTCTGGCTCCTTCCGTAGCCCCTCGACTCGGGCTGCTCTCATCCCAACCCAGCCTCTTCCGTCGGTCACGTTGTTTCCTCCGCTTGGAAGGACCTCTTTCCCGGCCCTTCCCAAAGCTCGGGGAACTCCTCCACCGCCTGAGCGCCTCCGCGTCCAGTCACCCTCGCCTCCCACCACCCCAGCGGGAGTTAGGGGCTACTGAACCCGGCCTCGAAGCATAGCAGCGAGCGTCGGTCCTGCCGGCCGCAGCCCCTGCCCACTCCCCACCCGCCACCTGGCTTCGCAGCGGCCGCTCGGGAAGCCCTAGGCACTTCCCAGAATAGAGAGCAGCTGCCAACGTCAGGCTGCCGCCGGCCGCGGGGTTCCGGGCGCACCGGGTGCCGGCGGAGGGGACGTGGCTCCGCTCTGGCCTTCCTTCTCCCCTCGCCGTCCGGGAAACTGAGGCCCGGGGCTGGAGCAACTTCCCCGGGGTGCAAGGTTCGTGTGGGCCCGGCCAGTCCCGGGCCCCCAAGCGTCCAGACTCCCGTCCGCGCTCCCTCGACCACACGCGCCGCCCGGTCGCCCGAGAGAGCCGGATGGGGAGCGGGTCTCCGAGCGAGCGCTCTGCCGGGGAACGCGCGGGGAACCGGACTCGGCCAACTCGCCGCGAAAGTTGTGGTCTCCCAGCCTGCCCTCGCTTCTCACCTCCGAGACACACCTTCCCGCCGGCCCGGCAGCCGCGCCCTCACATCCGGTCCACCTTGCGCACACCCCCTTCCACTCTCTCCCGCAGCCCCTCGCCCTCCCACGCCTTACGGCTCCCAACCGCTCCCCATCGCGCACTCCCACCCGCGCCCGGGGCGCGCCTTCCCCGCCCCGCCGCTCGCCCGGCCTCCGCGCCGCGCCCGCCCCGGGGTTCTGGCGTCCGGGAGCCCCAGACCGGGGCCGCGACCCGCTTCCGCCTGCCCGGCGCAGGGCAGAAGCCGGGGTAGCCAGCGCGGAGCGCTCGGAGCGCCGGGGGCGCGAGGCGAGGGGCGCAGCGGCGCGGGGCGGGGAGGGGGCGCTCGCTCGCTCACTCTAGGCTGCGCACACGCCCGTACAAACTCTCACACAGACACGCGGGGTGCGCTGCCGCCGCCCGCCGCTGCTCCTCCTCCCGCCACCGCCTTGAGAGGGAGAGAGAGGGAGAGAGAGGGAGGCAGAGAGAGCGCTTTGTCCGCGCGCCGCCGCCCGGCCCGGGACTCTGCCCCGAGGAGGCAGCCGCACAGAGTCCCCGCCTCCGCCTCTGCCCCCGGGCGGGCCCGGCCGGCCGCGGTGGGGGGAGCCAGGCTGAGGGTGGGGGTGGGTGGCGGGCGGGCGGAGGGCGGGGAGGGGGGGCGGAGGAGGAGCAGGGGAGACGAGGGCAGCGGAGGAGGCGAGGAGCGCCGGGTACCGGGCCGGGGGAGCCGCGGGCTCTCGGGGAAGAGACGGATGATGAACAAGCTTTACATCGGGAACCTGAGCCCAGCCGTCACCGCCGACGACCTCCGGCAGCTCTTCGGGGACAGGAAGCTGCCCCTGGCGGGACAGGTCCTGCTCAAGTCCGGCTACGCCTTCGTGGACTACCCCGACCAGAACTGGGCCATCCGCGCCATCGAGACCCTTTCGGGTGAGCAGTCGGCGCTGTCCCCCTCCCCCCGCCTCGCCCTGCTCAGGCCGGGACGGCGCCCGGAGGGAGGCCGAGCCCTGCGGGCGGCGCCCGGCGGGGGCTCCGGCGTTCACGTTCACTTCCACGCACCAGACCTTCAACTCTCACCGCCGGCCCGCTCCTGGGACGGCCCGCTCCCCTCCCCCCACCAGCTCCGGACTCACCCCATGCCCTCCCAGCCGCAGTCCTGGGGCGACCCCCGTGCCGCCCCGAGGGTTCCCGAGGCTCGCTCGCTCTCCCGGGGACCCCCAGTTTCCCCGGCTCCCCGAGCTGCTCCCCAGAGTTCCCCCACCCCCATCTTTAGAGAGCCCCCCGTCTCCCCTTCTTCCCTGACCTTCCCGTCACCCCCTTTGTCAGGGACCCCCCCACACAAAAAAAAACCCTCCATCTCCTTCTCCCTTGACCGGACCTTACCCCTTCCCGTGCCTCGTGCCCAGGACTTCTCGCCCTCTGGCGTCCCCTGAGCCGCACTCTCCTTTCGAGCCCCCCCTCCCCAGGTCCCCCGCGGCCCCCCACTTTCGGCACCCCCTCGGCGCCACCCTGACGATCCCCTTCGAGATTTCGGGGAGTCCCCCGACCCCAGCCCTTGCACGACGGCACATCTCTCTCGGTCCTCTCCCGAACCTCACTCCCTTCTCGCTCGTCTCTCAAGCGCTCCTATTTTTCTCTGAATTTTTTGTCCGATTTTATTGAGAAGAACTCGGGGCTGGGGGCATTCCGCCGCCTGTCCCCCCGCCTCCCGCTCGGCCAGAAGCACCTTTTTACGAGGTGCCCTGTCTCAACTCGGTGGGGGCCCGGGCTGAGGACCGAGAAAGAGGCGACCGGGGGGCCCGCGAGAGCGCTGGAGCCCAGACGGGAGACGGAGCGCGACACACACACACACTCGCGCGCGCGCGCACTCACCAACTCTCCTCTCGCACACGCACCGCTCGGAGCCGCGCTCGCCCCCAGGCCACGAGCCTGCGCCCCCCGAGCCTCTGCCCGCGGCCGTCGCCCCTTCCCCACCAGCGCGCGGGGTGGGGGCGGGGCGGCGGCGAGGCCAAGGTGATCCGGAGCCGGCGGGGACCCGGCTCTCGCCGAAGCGGACCCCGGGGGGCTTCGGCGCATCTCTCCGGGGCCACTGGGGGAAGAGGGCAGGGAGGGGGGAGCGCAGCGGAGCCTTCGGGGCCCGGGTTAGCGGAATGGAGAGGTGGGGGCCCGGAGAGGAGCGGGGCCGCGCCAGCCCTGCAGCTTGAGTTTCAAATGAGCTCATCCTTTCAAATTGGCGCCGCTCTTTATTAAATTTGTTTTTCCGGTAATGCCACCCACAGCTCTACCTGGGGTCGGGATCCGGGCTCGCACCCTTCCCACCTCGTCCTCGGGGAACGAGGCGAAACGCGGCGCCCACCTTTTTTTCCCACTGGGAAGCAAGTTTCCCCAGCTCGAGCCGGGTAGGAGACCCCTGGAGGGCGCCCGAAGGCGGAACCGGAGCGTGGAGTTCTCTGCGTGCCCCTCCTAGACCCCCGCCGGTTTGATCACAGCAACGTTCTGAGTGCTTTAATTTCTGTTTTAAAGGTAAAGTGGAATTGCATGGGAAAATCATGGAAGTTGATTACTCAGTCTCCAAAAAGCTCAGGTAAATATATTTTGCTTAGTTTTTTTGTGATTGGTCTCACATATAAGTAAAAATACATTCAGGTGTGTGTTTTTTTCTTAATGTGCTTATATAGTTTTTTAAGAGGCTTTTGTTTGTTTTGTCAGTGGAGATAAAATAGTTTAGAAAGTTACATTTTTTACTTTCATTATATAAGGTGTTTACTGTACTTGGAAAATATCTGGTGCCTATTGGGGGTGGGGGTGACGAACACTAGCTGTGTTAAGTTTGCTGGGACCATTTAACTTGTTTATGAAAACTTGCCTCCCCCCCCCCCACTCCCACCCTAACCCCCAGCACAATGGCAGCAAATGCTTGTCCAGACTTCCTGTGAGATGTTAAGAGTAAATATTTACTGTGTCAGCTAAATTGCTTAACTAAACTTCGCGATTAATTACTTTTCTTTTTTAGATAGCTTAAATGTTGAATAATAAAATAATTCAGTTAAGGGTCGATATTTTACATAGCGCTTTAAACCAGAAGGTTGTTTGGATTGGATGGCAGTTAAAAGCCAGACTTTTTTAGTCACTGGACTACTGAATATTGCTTCTGAGCGTGTTGTTGTTGTTGCTTTTAAGATACGTTTGAGGCTAAACAGATATCACTGTGAAATTTATAATTATATTTAAGTGCACTGTTGTTAATGAAGGAGTAAAAAGTTTTGTGGAGGTTGGATTTCTCCACAGTGATTTGCTTACATGAGAATGTCTATGAGGAGAGATTGAGGGAGAACATCTTTGTTTAAAGTTTATTGTGGACTTTAAATTTGGGCCCTTTATTACTCATTCTAGAATTTTTTTTCTCCTATGTGTCGTAACTTAGTTTATATCCTATTCACATACATTTCTTCACCATTAGTCATTAAGTAGCTGAATTGGAGACTCTAAGTGCAGTCTTTGACTTACCACCTTTACAATTTGTGATTCTCAACAGTGTAACCATTTACTTGATTTTTGCCAGTATTGAATAGATTTTGAAACAAACTATCCTAATTTTTAAACACATAGATGTTTTGTTAAAGGGGTTTCTAAAAATGTGTGCAAATTTCCAGGTATGTTTTAACTAAGCAACAAAATATCTTTTGTTTACCAGTGATTCCAGTGGCATATCAGAGAGCTACTTAATACCTTTAAAAAAAGAGGCAAAAGTTATGATTTGCAGTTTCATGTGTAACATTAAGCTAGTTCTTGCTAGGAAGAGATGTAATGCGCAACTGATAGGTTTTTCAATTAAGAATTTTAAATTTGTATACTTAAAAATTTTTTTGGGGGCTTGAGAAATCTAAGTTCGAGCTTTCTGATATATTAACTATTTATTGTAAGTTAGAATTACTCATAACATTTGAATATTGGATGAATATATTGAACAAGGTTTAAAAGAACCACCCAAAATATTTGATGGGTTGTGTTTCTGTAAATATATAATTCTATTGACTGTATAGTTGTTTTGAGTTCTTTTTTGGAGTTATAGTTCGTGAAAAATCTGTAGAATTTTAACTTTGGTTAGTTGGTGTCTCATTTCATGCTGCAAAGAACATTATTTAGTGTGGCAATGTAAGTGAAATACTAGTTTATCTGAAGTAATTAACATCTTCTTGAAACTTCTCACAAATATACTACTTTTTAACTTTTTCCTTTCAAAATGCAGAGGTTATTTGCTGTTAGCTGGAGGGTCATTTAAATGATTTTGTTGTGTTTATATAAGAGTTTAGAATTAAAAGCTTGTCCCAAATTTTTAGTATTAATTAAAGAGCTATCTAGGACTTCTACAGCCCTATTGGGACATGATTTCTTTGAACATTGTGGGTGATATGAGATACCTAGGAGGTAGATTAAAATGCGCTATGTGTGATTCACTACACTGAAGACGTCTGACATACCAAATTTATGCATAAGCTGCTGCTGTAGAGGGTTGCTTCATTTCTGATTGGATGGCTTGAATCTTTTTTTCCTTTCCTTTATTAGTTTAAAATGCAGAAATTAGTTACTGGTACTGCAGGCTAAGGGAGAGATAAGTGATGACTGGTGTTGTGTACTGAGCTCAGACTCCTGGGAGGAGGCAGCTGTGTGTTCTCATGTACAGGGCTCCACCACGGTGGGGACTCTCAAAAACAGGGTACTGTGACATTTGAAACCAAAGCTTTTATGTTATATGGTGACTATTTTGGTGTTCTTTTGTTGCACTTCCATGAAAATTAACAAGTTAAAAGTACATTTGTCGGCGTTAAGTCAGTTCTATATGTGGTTTTTGTGTTAGTAGAAGTGAAAATGTGAAGAAAACAGTTCATCCTCATTGCTTGCTTGCTTAAAGAACCATTCTGCAATTGAGTGCTCCTTTTCTTTATATTGTTCTGATTTCTTTCTGTTCTCAGGAATCACTTTTAACATCTACATTCCAGATAGATTTTTTTTAAGCTAATGATACTTGGGAGGGGATGTTTTTTATCTTAAGTTATGAAAACATTGGCATGCCATTTGCTTACCAATTGGATCTTTTGTTAAATATCATTCTAGCATCATTTTATATGTGCTGTTACTGTGGACAGACTAGATACTATTATTTTCTCAGGGTCACTCAGAAGTAGAAAACTCTTTTCTTTTGCCACATGTGCTTCATTCTTATTAAATGCAAATTATTGTAAAGTAAACCATGTACAAACCATCTATTTTTCTTAACTTTCTAAGTTGGCTTCGGGCTCTGTTGAATAAAAATCTTCGATTCTTTTTTCTCTATTCATGGTAGTATATAGGAATCAAAGATTTCTTAAAGAAGAAAAAACTGACAAAGGGTTTTAAAAGTTGTGGAAATTTCCTTGATAGAAATTTCATTTTTGATGTTGATGAGAGTTCAGTTTAAAAAAATTTATATGCTGTTTGTGTCTACACACATGCACACAAATACACACACATATTGCATAAATTGTTTTGAGCTAAGACTTATACTTACCTGAATGTGCTTTGTAACTAAAGTTGAATGATTCTGTGAGAAACAAAACTTTTAAAAATGCAATTTCTGCCCACTTCTAGGAAGTAACTAAGTGGTGCTAGACTTGCTTTCACTGAGATGGTGAGAATACTATGAGGTAGTGTAGGAAAAAGCTATGAATTTGTCTTTCATGAGTTAAAAATCAGTAATTGTATTCTCTCCAATGCAAATGAATTTGGTCTCCTATAGGAATGTTAAAGAAAACAGTATCTCAATTGTATTTTGCTTGTATGTACTACATTGTGTTTAGTTGAATTAAATACCAAAAAGAAAAAAAAAACAACCACCCAACCTCAAGCCCTCCCTGCAACAAAGGCTTTTGATGGGTCAATTTTTAATTTTGTAGCAACAGAAAAGACTTCATTAGGTTAAAATCATGTTTCCCTATTTCATTTCAAGAATTTGTTGAATTAGAAGTTAATGCCTGGATTTAATTGTATAGATTACATGTGTGGATATTTCATATATACATATAAGACTCAAAGGTTACTTATGATTTGTTTTTGAGTTCGACATTTAGCTTCTCATTTTAAAAAAAAGGCTAGTAATTTTTTTCATACAGTTCTAGGTCATGCCATATAAAATTATGCATTTCTGTGACCTTTGTGAGATAAGTATTGAAATTAAAATAGAAGCAATAAAGAAAAAATTACTTGATAATTCAGGTTTAAAATTCTAGTTTGTGTTTTTAAAAGAATGGTCATTTAATATTTTTACATTATTTGGTTAAATATTAAAAACCATTGAAATCTACAAATCAAAATAGATGTTATATACTGCTTGATTTTCCAATTTGCCCAATTTATATCAATTTTAAATTATATTGTAGTGATTTATAAAAGTGCTAAATGGCTAAACACATAAACATTAGTTCTAAAAGGCGATTTTGTGATATGTAATACATTTGCCAAATTGTGTTTTCTTAAATAATAGTGTTACTTTGTACTTATGGCTGGATATAAGAGACTGGTAAGTGATGGTCTCAGAGTTTTGTTTTCTTATTATGTTAACCTGAGATTATCATTTATATAGAGAAGGTGAGAGAAGATTAGTAATATTTGTATAACACTTTTTATATGTAATGATCTAAAGTACAATATATTTTCTTTAAAAAGAAAAATTTTAAAGGACACTGAATATTTAGAACCAATAGATATCAAAATCAACATTTCACTATTATTTTGAGTAAATTTTTATTTTGTGGTGGTTCCAACTTTTAATGGGTGAATGTAAATGACATTGAAATGTATATACAGGATAGTAATTTGAGCACATTTATTAAAAGTCAGTAAAGCTATGAAAATCAGATTTCTGTAAGAATTATTTATACATATTTGATACCTTCAACTTTTTACATATTTGCTGTCTATTGCTGAATCACTCTTCCAAGTCTGCTAATGAAATCCTTAAAAGTAGATGAGCAATTGGATAGCATTGTCACAGGACATTATTTGAGCTTAAGTGTATCATCTCTGTGATTCAGTGGGGTGTGTGCACATGGTGGGTGGGTGTGTGTGTGTGTGTGTTATGGAAGACAGTAGTTTCAGACAGAGATGGTATCAAGAGGGAAGAAGAAGAAATCTTTAATTGAGCAACAAATGTTCTGCTTTTCATTCCTGACAAGGCACATGAAAATTGCTAGGTGTTTGAACCTTGTGGTAAATGGAGTCAAGTGGAGTGAAATGTGCTTGCCTGATCCATAACTCTTGCAGGTGGTTAACCTTGTGGAAGCCAGGGCACAGTCACCTGTAGTGACTTCTTCAGTGAGCATGCTGCTGGAAGGACTGGTCTATGCTAAATATTCTGTCCTTCACTTTTGCTCAGATGTCCCCTCTCAATAAGAGAGTTAGCAAGTGATTCTGTGTAGGCTTTGATTTTCTGTAGAAAATTCAAGATCTGAATATGTATTTTCATTTAGAAATTCTATACTGTGGAAGGCAATGTATTTTTTTGTGTAACAAAAGTACTCTGAGAGAATCAGTTTCATTAGAAGAAGC